TGATAAATTATGGTTGCTGTTTTCTTTAGTACAAATGCAAAAAGTAAAAACTAATCACTTATCTGTTTTTTGTCTTAGAAATTGGTGACATTGCTGGTGTGGCTGATGTTACGATTAGACAGTCATACAGGCTGATCTATCCTCGAGCTCCAGATCTCTTCCCAGCAGACTTCAAGTTTGATACCCCAGTAGACAAACTACCACAGCTGTGAGATTGCAGAGGTTTACTTGTAATTTCTATTAAAAACAAAACAACAAACCACCCTACAGCAACAAACTTTTGATTTTTGCCTATAATAAAGGATGTACAAAGTGTTAATATTGAGTCTTCATGTTGTGGAACTGAAGGATATGGAGATGGAGCGTAACTGCTGGAAGGCAGCACACATTCCAAAGGTAAACAAGCTCGGTGTGGCATTTTGTATGTATATATTAGTGGAAGTAAATATTTAATGACTGTTGCAACAAAATTAATTTCATATTGCTGTACTTATTTAGATTTCTTTTGTAGGGATTTAGTTAAGATGTATTTTGGAAAATTTAAAATGTTATGTAATTCCCAAATAAACTGTTTTCCAAAAACACTTACCATCTTGTGAATATGACTGCGGGTTGACATGCACATACTGCTGCACATGCCGGGAACTGGAATGCAGTCTGCAGAAGGGTAGAGCTGGCTTCGTACTTACAGACTTGGTCACAAGGCTGGTTAAATGCTCACGTTCTTTACAATTTTTAATTTCTAGTGTGGTTTAGTGTTTGTAGCTAGCTGTGCAGTAGAGCGTGAGTGACTTAATTCAGTATGCAAGCAGTTGCTGAAAAGCAGTTTGAATATTTTTGCACAATTGCTCTAAAGATTTCTAAATTTGTTGTGAAAGGATTAGTCACATCCCTGGCATGGTCTCCCTGAGCTTCACTGATATCTCTCGGCTTCGGTTCTGTGAGTTTGACGTTAACAACAAAGCCGCTGAAGAGAAACATAAGAACTCTTCCTTTAGCTGAATTCCTGACACCTTTGCGACACTTGGTACTGTACAAAGAAAGATAGAAAATATTTCTAGTAAAAGTTGCAGTTAAGTATTCTGAGCTGTCAGTCCGCGCTGCAGTCTGGCTGGCCACTGGTTAAGCTTTTGGCACTGTTAGGTTCTAAGTGAGCACTCGCTTGTTTGAAACGATGCGCTGGGTGCTGAGGAGCAAAGGCCAGGATTTCTTCAGCCCTCCCCAGACTAACAGCTTTGAAAACTAGCTACCTCCTGACAGTGCCCCTTCGTGTGCAAAGGAACAAGTATACTTAAGTGGGCGTCTTCTAATTTTATATCACAGGTGCAAATTAGTTTTAATTACCCAAGTGAACAGCTGAGGGGTCAGCTTGCTATTCATCTGGTCCTGAGCTGTCCCGAGGGAAGGCTGTGTCCAGTGCTAGTAGCACTAACTGGCAGCAGCCCTACTGATTTTCTTGCTGGTTTAGTTTTAATCCTCTTCTGCCAGTCGAGACTAATGAAACGTGGCAGTTCAACATTTGTTCTTTTTTCTGTAAACAACTAACAGGCTGTTTGGAAAGGAAAAGGTAAAAAGTTCTTTCACTGATTGTACTTTCTGGCATAGATTGGTTTGTCAAATCTACTACATGCAGGGTAAAAATGGCTGAAAATTTAATTTACAGTAATGCTCTTTTTTTAAATGCTTTCAGGCATTATGCATGAGCACCTGAGGTGAGTGGTGAACGTTTGCAGTCAAAATTGTTACATACAAGGAACGCTGGCTGGAGTGAAATTTAAATAGATCTGTGCCAAGCTCTGGATGGCAGCAGCTGGTGGCATGGACATACATGTGATCCTGGCTTGACCCTGCCTCCTCTTGCAGTTCCTGTACCTCCCGTGGTGTGGAGATGGTTCCAGCTGTGCAGCCCGGAGAGGGGGATCTAGGCTTGTGCTTGAAGGGGCCACATATTCTGAAAAGCAGTTACTGCCCGTCCTAGCTGACTACAGTTAACGTGAAGCATTCCAGGAAAATTTTTTATATATATATATATAAAACATACACAACTCAGAATTAATTTTTAGGCTTTCTTGACCCCTTTAGTAAGCTGCTTTGATAAAGCAAAACAATTCGGCTTCTCTCAGAGCAGATTCCCGTTCAGAAACGTGCTCTCCTTGTTCCCGTGAGAGCACTTGTGGGCAGTGCAGGGGGTGTCTGTTCAGCAGCAGGTCCCAGTGCTGCAGGCATGGGTGTGGGGAGCTGGAGAGGAGGCGGGTTTGGCTCTGCAGCCTGTTTTAAATAATTACCTTCTTCTTGTGTTACCAAAGCGAAGTGGCAGCAAAGGCTGTATGACAAGTAGAGCCTAAAGCACAAGCGAGGAGCCTGGCTGCGGTTCGGGTGTTGGGAGGTTTCGGGTTCTGTGCGTGGGGTTGCTGGCAGGGGGGTTTGCACGGCCGCG